TTGAGTTGCTGCTAAGCAGTGCTTACTCTAAGTCAAGGACTTTTTAGTGTCTTATGCTCTGCCAGTGAGTGGGTACACAAGAGTCGGGAGGCAGCATGTCCAGGAGAGCCAACCTGAACTGGCCAAAGGGATATTCCATACCATAAAACACTATGCTCTGTATAAAAACTGGGGGAGTTGGCTGAGAGGGGCCGTTCACTGGTCAAGGATGGGCATCAGTCAGTGAGTGGTAAGCAACTGTGTTGCGCATCACTTGTTGTTCTTGTATTTTGTTCCTCTCTCTCTTTTTCCTTTTCGTTAGTATGATTGCCATTGTTGTTATTATTATGTATTTGACTTTATTTCAATTATTAAACTGTTCTAATCTCAACCCACAGATTTTGCCGATGTCAGTTCTCTTCCCCAGCCCATGTGGGAGGACAGAGTAAGCAAGAGGCTGCATAGTTCTTAGTTTCTGTCTGGGGCTAAACCAGGACAAGTGGTTATAAATGGTGAAATTTAGGCAGTCTGACTGTACAAACTTTTTGCATCTTTTCAATATTCCTAATACAGTTCAACTGTTTCTTCCCAGTAATTGGTTGAACAAGTATTACTATTTTCAGTTGTGTAGTAGTAAATTAACACACAAATTTTTATATTTAAGACATAAGTAATCATTAGGAAAAATAAAAATAATCGTATCTGTTTAATTGCTCTCCTGATTAAAAAGATAATTTCTGTGGTAAGGCGTAAAGATCTTATACAGATGTGCACAAAGACAGTAGGTGAACCACAAAGAAAAAAACCACTTCTGCTGTTAGTCAAATAATCTCGTAAAGTTATTTCAACAGTTTAGTTTTGTTAACGCAGCCATCTTATGAATTGGTTTTCAGTTTTTTGATTCCCATTTATGTCCAGTTGCAAAACTTCTAGAAGCACTGTAGAATATTTTTAGTAGGTGCTCTATTTACATAATGTCCTACATCTGACCATTCCCCCATGAGTAAGACAAATGGCAGCCACTGGTCTCCATGTTAATTCAGGAAAAATTAATTTGATTCTACCTATTTTAGAACCATGTACAAATGTATCTGATATTGTTACCTTGTATTGTTATTATACTCATGATCCATATAGGGATCTGAGGCAAAAAAAACCCAAAAAATATCTTAAAGACAGACAGTTGGATCATCTTGCCGGTAGACTGAAAATACTGTGCTGTATTCAAAATGTGGAATTTGTGATACTGAAGATATATGATCTAAAAAAAAGACACATTTGAAAACTTAGAAAACTTATTTCCTTATGTATACCAACATTGAGCATACTCAACTGGTATGTAAAAATAAATTTTGAATTTATCTTTTTCATTTTATTGATGATACAGTAATTCAGTTTAAAGATGTGAAAAGTACGAGTAGAAGTGAGTAATGCTGACAGACTGTAGGATTCTTGAAACTAAGCCTCGTACAGTCTCAGACACATTGTTTTCTGGTAGTGTTCCTTAGAATTAACTTGCCTTGGAAGTATGCCTTGCATTGTCTTGGAAGAAAATACCTGAATTTGCCCAAATAGCTAAGGAATGAGTTAACAGCTGAACGAGTGTCCAGTTTAAAAGACCACTGTCCCTCTTTGTCAGCGTAGATCCACCCAGAAGCTTTTGTATTCTATTTATTTATCTACTTGAAATTTATATATATTTATATATATATATGTATATATATATAAGCATAAAAGCATATACATAATATGTAAAAAAGCTATTTTTTAAGTAGAAAACATACTTTTTTCTTTTTGAAATTCAATTGAGAACAATCATTTGACAAGTGAATGAAATAAGGCACAACCCCTCCAAGTAGAGCTTCAGTCTTCACTTTTTGAACAAAGCAAAGACATTAAGAATGTTCCCTTACAGGCTGGATCCTCACTGTGCCAACAAGTAAAATAGAGTAATGACTTTGAGGTGACATGGAAGTGATAATTAACAAGAGCCGACTGTCCATACTTAGCTATCTAGAATAATTTTAGGTGCTGTATGTCTTACCTCCACTAGCTACTAATGAAAAAAAAAAACAAATTGGATTTGTAGATAGCCCTCTGTAGTAACTGCTGGATAACATGTCTATCTCAACCTGAGTTGCCTCAAGCAACACACAACAAATATATTTAAAAATTTAAATCCTGCATGAACTACCCTGTGGGATAGGATTCAGATCTTGCATCTCAACTTTTGTATTTAAATGTTAGGAAGAAGATATCTAAATGTTAAAGACATTTCCCTGTCTGACCATCCAGGAGTCAGCTGCTCTGGGAGACACTCGCACCACCTGCTGTGGGACTGAGGCCCCTTCGCAGCTACACCCCCTACGCTCACATAGTAATACCAGGTTTCGTCACCGGCTCAACCCCCAGTTTCCCATGGCAGAGTCTCAGACATCTAGATCTTTAAATAATTTAATCTTGGTGCAGTACCTAAATAAAAAAAATAACGCCTCAAGCTGGTTCCTCAGAGGAGTGACCACAAGCAAAGGAAACCCTGGGCTTTTATACCCCCACAGGCTCAGCACATGAAAGTCAGGGCTCAAAGGCTCCTGCCATGTCCCTCGGTGTCCAGTCACCTGGTTGCTCCACAGGTCTCCGTGCCATTTTCTGTGCAAAGGGTGGGCAGGTCATGGTCTCTTGCCTTGGGCTTCTACCCCCCAGAGCTCAATCTGCAGTTGGCAAGACAGCCGCACACTGAGCTACCTGCACTAAATGTATTCCTCCACGAAAATGTGCACTAATTTAGTAGAAATCCAGAGATGGATTTACGCACACAAAACCAAACAATCCTAAAATGCCCTAAGTCATTTAATATATCTGCCCAACATGAGAGAAAATGGCATATAACTTACAGGACATCTGTGTCATTCATGGATCTGGAGGCGAGAAGAATATCTCACAGGCTCTAAAATGACACTAGATGCCTACATTTGGGCAAGTGGATGAAGACTTAGTGATTATATCTATTGACAGTTGTGGAATTTCAGACACCCACCACACACGCAAGAAACTAAATTTAGGTAAATTAATTTGGAGCTTGGTCCCATCTCTAGGGAAACCGTAACCAATATCTGCTGTGATATTGTCACACAGGACTTTAGTGTTTGTTTTATCCTTGTAAAGTCATGCTAGCTAGCACTCTGGAGGAATTGGAGAAAACTGTATTTTACTAAATACAGCATTCAAGAAGCATTTGGATGATACTCTCAGGCACATTATGTGACTCTTGGGGATGGTCCTGTGCAGGATCCTTGTGGATCCCTTCCACCTCAGCATATTCTGTGATTCTGTAAATATGCAGAAGAGAGAGAGAAGATACATAAACCGATTAAAGCTTCTCCGCTTTTGTCTCCTAGCTGTGAAACACTGCAAAGGGTTTGTTTCAGTCCACCAGATGTCTTAAGCAGGGATAGAATCACAGAATCATTAAGTTGGAAAAAACTTCGAATATGATCGAGTCCAACCTATGACGGAACACCACCATATCAACTAAACCATAGCGCTCGGTGCCATGTTCAGTAGTTTCTTGAACGCTTCCCAGGATGGTGACTCCAGCATCGACCCGGGCGGCTCATTCCAATGCTTAACCACCCTTCCAGTGAGAAAGTTCTTCTTGATGTCCAACCAGAACCTCCCCTGCTTCAGCTGTTGTCCCGTTGCTATCTTCCTGGGAGAGAGGGCCCACCCCCACCTTGCTACAACCTCCTTTCAGGGAATTGTAGAGAACAATAAGGTCTCCCCTGAGCCTCCTCTTTTGCAGGCTAATCAAACCAGGTTCCCTCAGCAGCTGCTCATAAGTCTTGTGCTCGAGACCCTTCCCTAGCATTGTTGCCCTTCTCTGGAAATATTCCTGCACCTCAATGCTTTTCCTGCAGTGAGTAGCCCAAAACAGAATGCAGGATCTGAAGTGCGACCTCACCAGTGCTGAGTACAGGGAGACGATCACTGTCCTGCTGGTGACAGTATTTCTGATACAAACCAGGATGCCACTGGCCTTCTGGGCCACCTGGTCACACTGCTGGTTGATGTTCAGCCAGGTGTAAACCAGGACCCCCAGGTCCTTTTCCGCTGGGCAACTTTTCAGACACTTTTCCCTGAACCTGTAACTTTGCCTGGGGTAGTTGTGACTAAAGTGTAGGACTCAGCACTTTACCTAATTGAACCTCATACTGCTGGCCTTGTCCCACTGATGCAGCCAGCCCAGATCCATCTGCATAGCTTTCCTACCCTTCAGCACATCAACACTCCCACCCAACTTGGTGTCATCTCTGAACTTATTGAGGATGCAATCAATCCCCTCATCCAGATCATCAAAAAAGATATTAAACAGAACTGGCCCCAGTACTGAGCCCTGGGGAATCCCACTAGTGATCGGCTGTCAACTGGGTGTAGCATCATTCAACAGCACTCTCTGGTCCAGTTATTAACCCAGTGAGGAGGGCACCTGTCCAAACTATGGGCTGCCAGCTTCTCTTAAGAGTGTGTGAAACTTTACTAGGTCCTGATTGTGGTTGGTTATACTCTGTGAATCCCACACTGATGTCCCCCTACCTGAAGTATCCAAAAAAGGACAGCTATAGTGGCTATTGTGAGCTCTTCCTAACCAGTCATCAGGTTTATTTTTTTCAGTGGAGCATGAACAAGAAACCAGACCTTTGCCCAAGGTGAAGTCAGGACACAGATGAGCACCCAAGGAAGAGGAGGTCACATCCTTTACCTTGCAGTATAGACATAACCAGCATGAAGCAGATTTGGCATTTAAATAGATAATGCTTACATTTTTGGTGGTTTTGCCATCCTTCTACCTAATTTAACAAAAAAGATTGTAAAACTATGGGGCTTCTACTGTTTAAAAAATATATAACATTAAGTTTTTGAATTCAGGATTTAGAAACTTTTCACCTGGCAATTATGTAGCTGTGATGGGTGAAAGGAGAGCAAGCAAAGAAGATAGAGTGAAATACAGAGATTAAAGGAGATGATTAAGACATTTTTTATTTCAAGCTTGATTCAATAGCCCTGGGGAATCTCATGCTTCTTTAATGAGTGCTGCTGCTTAGCCATCTTACTCCTGCCTAATGAGAAACATAGGCAGTTCAAAGTTAAGTGCATCAAAGACAGGTTGCATTTAAAGCCATTTTCCCCTCAGCTTCCCTAGTCTCTGTCCATGGCCTTTTTTTCTTCTGTCATCTAGTATTCCTGAGCATGAACCATAGGAAAGGCTTGAAATGAACAATCACATTATGCAAGGAACTATTTCTTGGCCAACTTTTTCAAACAAATGTGGTTCCCTGCTCTTAATGTCTCTGTCCACATTTAACAGCTCTCATTCATTAGTTTTTGCTTCCTGCTCTACTACATGTTTGTTTCCTTGCAGCAACAGCTGACAACTTTTATTTCTGGTAGCCAAGAAGCACCAGAATCTATGTGGTATAGGTCTTCAAAACCTATAAGATGATTCCCCATCCCCTTCTGGCTCTATTCTGTACATAGCAGAACTGTGCTTTTGTGTAATCTGCAGTCAGGACATACTCCAAATACTTTATATGGACATGTGATTGGTCATTCATTTACAGACTTTCTCTCAGCTCCCTAATTAATATGAGTTGTATACTTATCTGAAAGTCCACAGACACATGCACAAAAGCATATAAATATATGAAGAACTGCAACTCTGAAAATACTTTCAGAGAAGAAAAGCTTACCTTTACAGTCATCATCATCATCCTGCAGACAAATAAACCCAAGATAGAAATCCAAGAAATATCTGACTAGAAAGGATGTATGAACTCTTCCCTAACAGTAATTTGGATAGTTAATTTGACAACAGATTTTAATCCATATGGTTTTGTATATTGTTTTTAAGTCAACTACTGTTTTTTTTCCCAGAAGCTAAGGGGAATCAAGTGCTAGAGTTACATACAAAACTCTGATTCATCTGAAGGCATTAATTAACCTTAGGCTATCCAGACATATATTGGCCAACAGGTGTATTGGTAATTTCATTAGCTGGGAGTTTGTCTACTTGAGGGAGAACAGCTGTACCTTTCTTTAACAATTCCTGTAAGTGATGTTTTCAGTATACAGTAATTCTGGCAATGACATTTTTTAGCTGAAAATGCTGATCTTCTAGCTTCTATTAAAATCATTCTCAGAAGTGCTGCCTTAAAAAGGTACGACTTCTGGGAATAGCCACTTAATTGCAAGACTTAAAAGAATAACATAAAAAGAACTTGAAATACAGAAAAGGTTAGCTTTCAGGAAGTTTTTAATTGCCTAAACTGTTATCTGCCTAGTCTTAATATGTATGATATCATGAGTAATCAAAGTATGATTATGTCTATATTGATTTGAAATATTTTTTATTTTCATGACTTGTTAATGTACTGTAAACTTTTTTAATCTATTGTCTAAAATGTCATCTTAAAATATTTTTACTATGTGTGCTCTTTCTGTATTAAGATAATTTCATGCATTAAGAAAAAGTGGTGTATTGCAGTCTGTCTTTTGTTTACACAGATCTTGCAGTGACAACATACTACTGTGACGCTCATGTTTAATGACGTTTCTAAAATATGTCAGACTCTTCAGAATATCTCTACCTGTTTGCCATTCACACTAGTTCAGCTGAAATCTCTCCCAATGAGATTTTTGATGTAGATCTATTTTCTGTGATGCAAGAGGTCTCACCCACAGTCAGTGAAAAACTCCAGAAAGCAAAGGCAGCTATCACTGCTATGAAGACCTAATAATCTGCAAATCTTTAGCCTGTGCCAAAAGCTCATGCTGTAGAAAAGTTAATCAAATCCAGAGAAATCCACCAGTATATAATACAGAACTTGTCACTGTGCTTCACTCTTATAATCTTACTGTATGACATTGTACTCATACTGGAGCTAGCTGGATTGAGCCTTCTACGTTTCACATGAAAGCCAAATATCAATTCTATTCTCAGTAAAGCTTTCTACTTAATTCACTCCCCCTCTTTCTTTTTTTTAAAATTTTTCTTCTACTTTTTTTTATTACTCCCCAGAATGTAGAGATTTGAACCTGAGGATTTGTACTGGGTTTGTGTGGCAAGGTATTGATAGTGTTGGGGGTTATAGCAGTGGCTTTCATAAGAAGCTGCTATGTCCAACAGAACCAATGCCAGATGGCTGCAGGACGGGTCTACCACATGTGAGGGCCAAGCCAGTCAGTGATTGTGTTAACATCTTTGTGATAACACATTTAAGAAGGAGGGGGAAAAAGTGTTATGACATAAAAGTAATTGTGGCCAGAAAAGAGAGAAGTGAGAGTATGTGAGAGAAAAAGCCCTGCAGACCCCAAGGTCAGTGAAGAAGCAGGGGAAGGACATGCTCCAGACACCAAAGCTGAAATTCCCCTGCAGCCCATGGTGAAGACCATGGTGAAGCAGGCTTCCCCTCTGTAGCCCATGAAGGTCCACAGTGGAGCAGAGATCCACCTGCAGCCTGTGGAGGACCCCATGCTGAAAAAGGTGGATCACTGGAAGATGTCCGTGAACCTGTGGGAAGCCCATGCTGGAACAGGCTCCTGGCAGGACCTGCAGACCCATGGAGAGAGGAGCCCACACTGGACAGCTTTGCTGGTAGGACTTGTGACCCATGAGGGACCCTGAAGGACTGCACCCTATGGAAAGGGACCCACGTTGGAGCAGTTCATCAAGAACTACAGCCCATGGGAAGGACTCATACTGGAGAAGTTCATGGAGGACTGTCTCCTGTGGGAGACACTGAAGCACTCCTCTCCCTGAGAAGGAAGCAGTGTCGGAAACAACATGAGTGGACTGACCATAACCCCTATTCCCTGTCTTCCTGCACCATTGCAGGGGGAAGGAGGTAGAGAATCGAGAATCAAGTTAAGACTGGAAGGGAGGGAGGGGTGAGGAGAAGGTTGTCCTTATTTCAACCCACTAGCCTTTCCTTATATTTTCTCTCACCTGTCCAGTCGAGGAGGGAGTAATAGAGTGGCTTTGGTGGACACCTGGCCTTCAGCTGGGGTCAAACCAGCACAGCAAGAAAGTGGATGAAATCTCTCTAAAACCTGAGGGAGCCTCTGGATCACAGTTCCTCATTTGTATGGGAGATTTTAACCACCTGCCAGATACTGGAAAGGAAAATGTGGTGAAATACAGACTTCCAAGACCTTTGGACAGTTTGTGACTTTTCATTCAGACACTGGATGGGACAGCAAGAGTGACATACAGCTGAACCTCCTCTTTACTAACAAGTCAAAACTGATTTGTGATGTAATAATCAGTGGAAGCCTTAGATGCTGTGACTTGTGAAATAGTGGAGGGATTTGGCTTGTTTAGCCCAAGAGAGAGCTGCAGGGGGATGTAACAACAGCCCACAGTGCCTCTGGAGAGGTCATAAAAGGGACAGTGAGTCACACAGGCAGACAGACAGACAGACAGACAGTGATGTGTGTCCCAAGTGGGAGTGGAAGGCTTAGACAAAGTTATTAAAAAGCCCTGCTGTTGAGTCACAAGGTGCAGAAAGGATCTCCTTGCTTTCTAAACTCCTAGGGGTGCGGCTGGATCCAGTTTTAGCCTAAGATTTTGTCAACGGTTTAAATTTAAGGAATTATAGAGTTGTGATTGAACCACTTTTGTCCTGCAGGTTTTAATGATGACAAATCACATATAATTTATACAAAAATAATTATTTATTATTACAAATGATCAGACAAAACAACTTAATCCAAATTATTTACTACACAATATAAACACTAAAATTTCTAGTAGTATAGTATAAGATAGGATAGTGCACTATCTTAAAGCAATTATTGAAGCAGTTATATTAAAGCTAACAAAAACAAATAATTATTAATTAGTGATGAATGTAACTCACCCATACCAATGCTCATGGGGAGATCTCTTTTCTTGACACCCAAAGGAGTATCCTTGGGGAGCATCCCCAGACCAAGGGAGGAATCTCCACACACACTCCCCAAGAAGGGTTGTGTTAGAAGAACCTTACTGTATGAGAGTGGACTGGCCTTTTATAGTATAAAATGATTGACTACTAGTCAAACATTTCCAGGCCAGCTAGAATCTTATCTGTCAAATCCTGCTTCAAAAAGCAGGATATATGTTTGAAGTTTGGTGAACCAGGATGGTTTTGTCATAATTCAACACCAAAACAGCACCCTAGTGCCACCAGTAGCTCACCACAGGTAGCTTGCATTGTAGATTGAAGAAAATTGTTTGCTACTCAGTATCTTATTACAAAATTACTTTTATAATTTTTCTTTATGCAACTTTTTATAATATGTAACATATAAAAGTATTTCTTTCCCTTGAAAGATGAATGTTTACTTCTAGAAAGTTAACTTGTTGAGTTCTATTTCAAAGTGTAATTCCAGTCATCAGTATAAATAATATTAAATATAATTAAATAAGATTTTTGTAAATTTACTGAAATCTCATAGATTTTGCAGTGGAATTCATTTTACCATGTTTAGATATTGACATTACACCGCTACTGAAAAGATGAGAATATTACTGCATGATTTCCTTCGCTCACCAGAATTTCAAAGGAGCTTTAGACATCTAAACTAAGGTAAAATGAACCACACTTTTACTGTTTGGCAAGCAAGCAGTCTGCCTGAAACTGTAGTCTTAAACCATCATACAACATGTTCCGTTATTGAACTTATATCTATTCCTAACATGCTCATACAATATTTACATGTATAAATTAATACTGTAATTCAATGTAGACAATATGTAACCTATACTGAAATACATATTGACATTTAATGCATCACTATTTATAAAGAATATTAAATTTGTTTATTAACCTCATAAATTAACTCTTACTGGAAATCTAACTCAAAATAAGATATAAACCAGCAGTGTCTCTATGCTGACCAAATCTGATAGAATATTCAATGAATCAGGATATTTTAGAGGAAAAAATAATCACTTCTACTACTTTTTCTGTCACAATTATTGCACCAATTCAAATCTAGTATACCTTCCAGTTGAAGTCTAGTATGTCTTTTACATTAAAAGGCTTCAAGTTGAGTGCACAATTTTATACCTTTGGTACCTTTTAAAATTTAGTTTTTAGGTAAAGGTTAATTTTTATTTTACATATATTGTATACCTATGTATATTGATACACAGACACACTTAGATTGTATATATAAATATAAGCAGAAAATGGAATGCAATAAAATGCCGATATATATCCCATTATGGCTTTTGTACGCAATCAGTTGGTCACCAATATGCACACCTGGATCTAGGAATGCTAAAGCAGTCCTATGCCTGCAGATATAAGTGTAGTCTTATTCAGCTATCTTACAGGAATTTGTTATTTTTCAGTTAGAAAACTTGTATTGCACATAGACAAAATCTGTACCACTAGCTCAAGCTAGACAAATGTTTATGGGATTTACTTGATTCTAATTTTCCGATAGAACTGAATGAATTGATTTGGAAGTTAATTAACTAACCAGGTAGCTATGCCTGACTGTATTTAGTTAGTTTGGAGGTCTGTTATTTCCAGGAAACTCTTTAAGATGATACCAAAAGGTTATGCAAAGTATCTATTCAAAGTAGTCTCTGAAGACAAATGATAACACTTTTCTGCTTAACTGTGCAAAACTTAACATTTTTCCAGGGGCTGCTGAAGCATATTAATATCCAAGCCTCAATAAGCTGCCATCTCACACTCTTCCATATGGCAAATTGTGTTTCAGCAGTTGTTTGCAGAGTATGTACCAAACCAAAAAATTAATATCTACAGATTTTATGTGTGTGAAAATGGGAAAGCGTGGTGCACAGTCATAGCTACTAGTAGGTTCACAGCATTTATTTCGTTCACTCCATCATGTACTATGAGAAAGTAGAGACCTGAAGGAGTTTGAGCTGATCTGTAGGACCGCCTGCTGCTGCAGAATCTACAGTGTGCAATCAGAAGGATACGGTAGGTTATATGAGATCATTATGTGTAGACTATTATCATAAATATGGGGGCACATGCCTGCCACAATAACATTTGTCATTAGATTAGAGAAAGACTAAATGTACAACATATTTCGTATTTAGATAGAGTGAATAGTACTTTACAAATATTACATTTAAATCTATTCCAGATTAAAAACAGGTGACATTCCAAAGTGCCTATTTGTTTTCTTTCTACAGAAAAAAAAATTTAAAAAAAAGTCCCTCTTTCATTTTCTCCCAGTAGATTAAGGGATGGTTGCCAGTATTGGTGTATATTCAGACAGATATGCAAGCTTGACTGACATCTTGCAGTCCCATGTGCCTGGGTATTTCCAAATGTGTATAAAGGTTTTTGCAGACAGTTCTAGCACATCTCTTCTGTGATTACAATACAAAAAGGTGTGCTTCAAGATCCACCTAAGTTAAGCCAGTAACAAATAAGGTGAACAACATTGTTCGGTGCTGAAATTTTTATATTTATTTATCTACCTGACACCCTGTATTGATTAAAGTCTCCTAAATGGTGTTTTAGAATATTCAACATTTCACTCAATCGGTATTCCAAGTATCTAGCATGATGACTGGAAAGTTAATTCTGGTTACGTATTGGGGAATCGGTATGAATTGGTACATCCTAAGTCCTCTTCCTTTATGGAGCTTAGGAATCTTACATTGATGGATGTCTTCTTGTCTGTCTTGACTAACAAACAATCCATTCTACATGTTTAAACAGTTTTAAGACTGTCCTTTCTAGGCAAGTATATTCAATAATGGGCTGTAAGATTACTCTCATCTGTGTTCTCCACATCTTTTTTATCACCTAATTCAACTTTCATTCTTTTTTGAAAGCTGAAGTATTTTTTGGAAGTATTTATGGAGTGCTTCACCTCTGATGTCGAAGTATTTGTAGAAAATATTCTAAAACAGAACTTAGTAACTAAATTTATGTTGCTCAGAAGCCGTGTAACTATAATACTCATAAAAATTCTGAATAAAAGCAAGAAGCACTCTCTAGACATTTTTTCAAAGAAAGTAGCAATTGTCACTTCATAGTGCATACAACTGAATTGTTTATTCATTTACAGGGTATGCTCAGTGGGTTGAAATCCATGAGCTTCTGGGTGGATTATTGCCCAGTTTCTGGACATGCACTCTATTTAGTCAGTATAGAAGTATTGAATTCTTCTGCCTATCAGGGTGAAACATTTATGAGCATGCATGAAAAAAGAAAATTTGTTTTCTGAGAAATTTCACAATGAAAACCTGAGTCTTCCATGGAAGTCAGTCTCCCACAGTAACAGCTGTAAATTTTTTCAGGATCACAGACTTGATCTCAGGTATTTAAATTGGTTAATCTTTCATATCTGCTAAGATCTTAATGTAGGAACCTAAGGTTTCTGTCATCCCACTGATATTTTGTCCTCTTTTTCAACACACGGATGACATTATTCTGTGCAAATACTCCTTGTCCAGCACAATCAGGACTTTTTTGGTCGTTGCTTTGTGTTCGTTATTTTTTTGCTTGGCTTGTTTTTTTGGCCTTTTTTTTTTTAATTCTTCTTATTATCCTACTAATTCTGACTTTAGGTATTTTTAATTATATCCAGAAACATGGTAGAGATATATAAACACTGATAAGAAGCTGAAGCCTGATTAAACCTAATTGGACTTTTAATATCCCTGCTGTTATAAGCCTGTGTACTGCTAAGCAAACTACAGGGATGAAAGACATAGTAGCATGGTCAGCTTTGAATTGTTATGAAGTTTATGCCAATCTAAGAGTGATAAGTTAAGCCTTAGTAAACACACTTATTTGATAAGATAATTACCTCAGCTGTTAATATACTGAACATTTAATAAATTTTTGTTTTCAGAAAAGATCTCAGTGTGTGTAGGATCTTACAGCTTCCTCTGCTCTCAGCTCTGTGATGGGTGATCTTGGCTGGATCCCAGGTGCCCACAAAAGCAGCTCTATCACTCCCCTCTTCACCTGCAAAGAGGAGAGAAAATATAATCAAAGGTCGGTGCGTTGAGATAAGAACAGGAAGAGATAACTCAACAATTAATGACACAGGCAAAATAGACTCAAGTTGGGGAAATTAACTAAATTTATCATCAATCACATCACAGTGGAGTAAGGAGAAATAAACCCATGTCTTAAAGCACCTTCCCCTCACCCATGCCCTTCTTCCTGGGCTTAATTTTACTCCCTAATTCTTTACCTCCTCTTCCTCAGTGACACAGAGGGATGGGGAATGGAGGCTGTGGTCAGTTCATCACACACTTTCTCTGATGTTCCTTCCTCCTCAGGAGGAGGACTCATCACACTCTCCCGTCGTTTCACTGTGGGATACGTCCCCCAGGAGGCAATCCTTCAGTACCTTAT